AGAATGAAGACACGAAGAAAGTTTTGAAGTCGCCCCCTCAAGAGATGGCTATAGATGAAGATGAAGACGAGGACAGTAGTGACGAGGAAAGTGACAAGAAGGTTGAGCAGTCAATTTCAACACCATCGAAAGCAAAAGAGATTAAAAAGAAATCGGCGGAAACACCATCATCTAGGATAAAGGAAACTAAAAAGAAGAAGGAAGACACGATAAAGAAAGATTTGAAGTCACTCTCTCAAAAGGTGGATATGGACAAAGATGAAGAAGACGAGGACAGTAGTGACGAGGAAAGTGACAAGAAGGTTGAGCAGCCAATTTCACCACCATCAAAAGCAAAAGAGATTAAAAAGAAATCGGCGGAAACCCTATCATCCAAGATAAAGGCAACTAAAAAGAAGAACGAAGACACGATTAAGAAAAATTTGAAGTCACTTTCTCAAAAGGCGGATGTGGACAAAGAGGAAGAAGACGAGGAAAGTAGTGGCGCACCATCATCAAAAGCAAAGGAGGTTAAAAAGAAATTGGCGGAAACCCCATCACCCAAGATAAAGAAAACTAAAAAGAAAACGGTAGCGGTTGATGTTAAATCTGTTGAACAATCCGAATTGAAGAAACGCAAAGCAAAAACCAGTAAGAATGACAATAAACCACAAAAATCAGCAAAATTCTCCTTAACGGATGATGTCAGCAACAAAGTTCAAGAAATGCCAGACGATGCATATTCATCATCGGAAGAATCTGAAGTTGAGCAGCTGATTCCATTATCAACTAAAGTAAAAGAAACTAAAAAGAAATCGGCGGAAAAACCATCACCCAAGATAAAGGAAACTAAAAAGAAATCGGCGGAAAAGCCATCATCCGAGATAAAGGAATCTAAAAAGAAATCGGCGGAAAAACCATCACCCAAGATAAAGGAAACTAAAAAGAAAACGACAGCGACGGTCGATGTTGAGGAGGCTGAGTCGAAGGTCGCTAAACAATCCGAATCGAAGAAACGTAAAGCAAAAACCAGTAAAGGTGATGATAAACCTAAAAAATCAGTAAAAGTATCTTTTGCTGATGACGTCGGCTTACACTCAACAAAGGTCATAAATCCAAAAAAACAACCAAAGCAACCAAAAAATAAGTGATCGAAAAAATGTGTATATATAAATAATAAAGAATTTACTTGGATCATTTGATGTGACGTATTTTGACCTACTGATCGTCATAATAAAAAAATGTAATTCGTCTAACTTTTTTTGTAATAACACAGCCAAAAAGTTATCTCTAAAAAGTTTATTGCATATCTTACGAGCTCGTATGTATAATTGTCGTTATATTTAAGTATATTACGATTAGCTTATTTTTTAAAGAAGTAAGTAACCAAGAACAGAAAACTTATGCTATATCCAGCGATAAGTTGGCCTGACATTTGAACTGTCAAGCTAATTCCGCCCCCAAGAAAGACCATAAAAAAGTTAGTAATGTCTAGTTTCTACGATACAGGAGGTACCTGTGAACTCTCACAAACCTCAAATGCTCTCGTCGCTTTCACCGACGGGAATTACTCCGCGGCCATCGGAGTCTTAACCGAATTTGCATCTCAATATGGTGAACATGCGCAAGCGTTGTTAGCTCGCTCGTTATGTTATCTACAGCAAAGAGAGTTTCCTCGTGTTCTCGCCGACACCTCAAAAGTAATAAAATTATATACGATAAACGACTATAATACCGATTTATTCTGCCACATTTTAGCGTTATGGTTAAGAAGTTTAGCCTTTGAATCATTGGAAAAATGGCACGAAGCTAAACAAGATCTGAATCGACTTAAGACCCTGATCTTGCAACACAATAATCCCAGCTTTACAGTCGATGGAACATTATCATTGTTCATTTCCAACATGGTTCCCTTGATCAATCAAATTGGGGATAAATTCGTGGCAAATAACCTTCAGTGCGTTACCGAGAGGTTGCATCGTATGATGCATTTGGAAGCGCAAGAGATTTCTCGGAATAACAACGCGACACAAGCTTTTCGATTGATTGATCGAGTGACGAAGAATTTCAACGATTTCACTCAAGTTTTTCTTTATCGTTTGCTATTGAGAATGCCAATCCATTCGAGTATGCATCTTGACAGGTGGTATTCGTTGGATCTCATGTGTGTGAGTGAGATGGGATTGTTCAAAAGAACAGATATGGAGGGCATAGATGGATATAAACTTGGTTGTAAAATACTCGAGATTGGCAACAAAGAAACTTGTCAGTACGAAGTAAAAGTGAGGGCGATGAGCCAAGTTAACTGTGAATGGAGTGACGTGATGGCAACCGAATGGGCTGGTGTTCAAAGTAACGGCAAAGGTGGCTTAGAACTGAAGATAACGAGAGTTAATGACAGTGATACAACAAGTAAAATGCATCGACCTGATAAAGTAACAAGAGTTAATAATGGCCGTCGCAATAGAAAATCACCAAGAAAAAATTCATCTTTATATCTTCACGTTTTCCCGATCTTGGAAATGGTTAGCGATGATCGTAAAAATAAACTGGCAAATGATAATAATAATCACCAGCATCAGCAGCAGCAGCAGCAGCAGCAGCATCATCATCATCATCATCATTATCATCATCGTCTTGTTCCATTGGTGGTTGGACCAATCAAAATCACTACATGTGAATCACAGCCATCTTCTTGTGGTTATCATTACGCTGTAACGCAACCAACGAAATTGAACAACGCATCCGCTACCGTATCAACTCGGAACTCGAATTCTCCTACGTCGAGTTGGTCGTGTGAATCATCATCACCATCGATAATTCCATTCTCTAACGGACAGAAATGTTCATGGGGGAATGACGATTGTTTGGTTCATAATTTTAGGACCTTCGAACTTGCGCATGGAAAAAATTTATTGATCAAAGAGCTTTGGGATTTCGGAATTCCCGGTAAAATTTGGGATTCTGCCTTTATCATTGCAAAATTATTCACGAATAAAATATTACAAGATCCCAAAGCTCTTTTAGGCAAATCCATATTGGACTTATCGACTGGAACGGGCTTTCTTGGTCTCCATCTTGCCGCTTTATTATCTGTTGTAAATAACAATACTAATAATATTGTTGATTTAAATAAACATAAAAGAACGCGCGTAATCTTGACTGATTTAGAGGATGCCCTCAAGTTGATACGAGTTAATTATTCACTCAACCAATATCTTTTTCAAAATAATCAAAATATGACGATCAATGTGGACGTGTTGAAATGGGGCGACTCCAACAAAGCTAAAAAACTTGGTTTGATCGATGTGATCTTAGCATCAGATGTCGTTTATGAACCAGGCAAGTTTAAAAAGATCTTGAGAAATACTTTTTTTTCACACGATATCATGATCACTAATAACTGATAAATGAATGGTACTTAGAACTCTTTGATCAGTTAATCCAAACATTTGTCGATCTTTGTGTTCCTGGACGCACAAAAATGTATCTTGGATATAAGCGTCGAGGTCTATCAATAGAACAAGAAGTTGAATTTTTTTCGAAATTGAACTCTAAATTTAACATGAAAATCTTGGAGGGTGACGGAGATCACGAAAACGAAGGTCAAGTTAGAATTTACGAGTTATGGAGCGAAAAATTAAAATGATAATTATCAAAACAAAAATGTCTATTTTTTTATCCTCGTAAAAAATATAAATAATATAAAACAATTATCGTTATTATTTCAATTTGCTAATTGTGTATGATTCATGATAGAAGAAATAGAAAATATCAAATAGAATGTATAGTAGCATCATCATAAGCACATATAGAATTATCATTAATTAGAGTTTGCATAATTTTCACTTTATACATTATTTCTTCATTCCCTCTATAATGGTGGTAATAAATAAACCAGAAAATGCACCTGCACATTGTCCGGTATGTTCTACTTTTTGACTGGCTGGTTTTCAACTCTGTCCTGAACAATTTCGTCATATAATCTCCTAATATTTCGCACCTCAAAAAAGGGACCTGACACAGAACAAGCAGGTAAAGCTTCAGCGTGTGCAGGTTGTCCTAATCAAAATATATGTGCAACTACTCCAAAGGGTCCTGACCCAGGTGTGTAAGCATAAATCAATGCTCATTTTCAACCGTTAATTGATTATTAAGAAAGTAATTTAATTTCTTCGATAGCCATTCCTCTTATCAATGAAAGATTGCATCAGGTGAAACATAAATTACTAGTTTTATCAGGGAAGGGCGGTGTGGGAAAAAGCACGTTTACTTCGCAACTTGCCTTCGCCTTCGCCAGTGACGAAAATGTACAGGTAAAAGAAAAATCTGTAAAAAGGAGTTAGAGGAAAAAAATTATTCCTGTTTTTAACTTTTTTGGGGAATATCTAAGGTGGGTGTTGTGGACATTGATGTGTGTGGACCATCAATTCCAAGGATTATGGGATTAGAAGGAGAGCAGATACATCAAAGTATGTCGGGATGGTCACCCGTTTACGTGCAGGATAACTTGGGGGTGATGTCCATTGGATTTATGTTGCCTAATCCGGATGACGCTGTTATTTGGCGAGGACCAAAGAAAAATGGTATATCTTTGTTGAAGCTGTTTTGTGAATTGTGACTTAAGTTTAATCTATTATTTTTTATACAGGATTAATCAAACAATTCTTAAAGGATGTTGATTGGGGAGAACTTGATTTCCTTTTGG